ATGGATGGAGGTCCCTGGGTGGAGCAAATTGTTTAGACTCATCTACTGATTTAAAATTGGCAGTTCAGACCTAGCCAGTGTTGCCGTGAAAGAAAGGTCTGGCAATCTGCTTCTGTAAAGACTGTTGTTAGGGGCCATCAGGTTGGTTCTAACTGGTAAACGACATGCTGTCCAGGCTTGTCCCTTCCTTGTGTGTGTTGCTGTGTTTGAGCCCATTGTTGTAGTGACTTTGTCAAACTGTCTCTGTTTTTGGTCAGCCTTCTCTCTACTTTACCAAGCATGGTGTACTTTTCCAGAAATTGGTTCCTTCAGAATATATCTCTGCAGTGTGTCGGATGAAGTCTCTCTATGCTCCCTTCTAAGGAACATAAATTGGAGGGTCGGAGAAAAAGAGGAAGACCCGCAACAAGATGGATTGGCACAGTGGCGGCAGCGATGGGCTCAGGCGTGGCAACGATTGTGAGGTTAGCCCAGGACTGGGCAGTGTTTTGTTCTGTTGTGCATAGGGTTGCTATGAGTCGGTACCAACTGGATGGCACCTAACAACAAAAACAACAAGGAGCATTCTGACTGTATTTATTCTAACATAGATTTGTTCATTGCTCTGGCAGTCCAAGGTACATTTCATCACTTTCGCTGACATAATAACTCAAATGCTTCAGTTCTTTGGTCTTGATTCACCTCCCAGCTTTCTCATGTATACCAGGTGACTGAAAATACCAGGGCTTGATTCCAGTGCACCTCACTCTTCACACTGATAGCTTTGCGTTTTAATGCTTTAAAAAGGTCTTTTGCAGCAGATTTGGCCAATATAATAGGTTGTTTGATTTCTGGACTGCTGCTTCCATGGGTATTGATTGTGGACACAAATAAAACAAAATCCTTGACGTTATGAGTCTTTCCTGTTTATCATGATGCCATTTGGTCCAGTTGTGAGGATGTTGGCTTTCTTTACATTGAGTGGTAATCCATGCTGAAGGCTGTGCTCTTTGGTCTGCATCCATAAGTGCTTCAAGTCATACAGCCTAGAAAACCCTCTGTAGTAGTTTGCTTTGTACCACATGGGGTTGCCATGAGTTGGAATGCACTGGTTCCAGGGGGTTAATTTTGGTTTTGGTTGGGTGAAGAGCGTGACAGTAAGCCAGGAGTATAGTGATCTAGAAATGAACCTTCATGGGTTGGGAGGTATCAGAGACTTAGTGGTGGTGGTTACGTGCCGTGGAGTCGGTTCCAACTTACAGCGACCCTGTACAGGGTTTCCGAGGCTGTAAATCTTTACGGGAGCAGAAAGCCTCATCTTTCTCCCGCGGAACAGCTGGTAGTTTCGAACTGCTGACCTGAAGGTTTGCAGCCCGATTCGTAACCACTACGCTACCAGAGCTCCTTCATGTGAGAGTAGAGCTTTCCAATAGGGTTTTCCAACCTGTATTTTTTATGGGCTGGTGGTGTGGCGCTGTGGGTTAATGCGCTGGACTGCAAAGTCCGTTTGAACCACAAAGTTGGTGGTTCAAGCTCACCAGCCACTCCTCAGAAACCCTATACAGCGTTGCTGTGGGTCGGGTCCAACTCGATGGCACTTAACAACAGTAATTCTTTATGGGAGCAGATTGTGAGGTCTTTCTCCTGCAGAACTGCTTAGTGGATTCGAACAGGTAATCTTTCAGTTAATGGCTATGTGCTTAACTCTTGTGCCACCAGGGCTCCTGACCAACAGGGATATAAAGGGCCTGAGTTGCTCTGATGGCTTCAAAGTAGGAGTGGAAGTGGCCAGTTGTGAGTGTTGGTGGTCGAGAGGGACAGGAGTCACCCACCAGAGACCTGAGGTACCTATTTGATTCCTGCAGATAGAGGCGTGGAGTCTAGAGACACCTCTTGATGGCCAATATACAAAAAAATTCGTGGAAAATGGAATTAAAAGATAATGGAAAATTTCCACAAACTTTTTGAAGCCCCTTGGTATATATGCAGGTATACATATAGAAGCCCTGGTAATTCAACAGTTAAACATAAGGTTACTAATCTAAAGGTTTCTGGTTCAAACCCACTCAGTGGCTCCATGGGAGAAAGGCCTTGCAATCCTGTAAAGATTCCAACCCTCTGGGCTTGGCCACATGAGGTGGATGAGCTGGCATGGACTGAGAGGCATTTAAAAACAACATACGGGAAACTAACATAACTCAGATTATAGAGGGAAGAGAGGGGTGTTCACCCTGCTCGAATTGTTTTATTAAGAAATCTTTGTGTATTATTGTAATTAAAATGCATTTAAAATAACACCAGCTGTATAATATTCTCGGCAAACAAGTTTAATCTGAACTTAATGAGAAAACAATCAGACAACTGCAGATGGTAGGTCGTTCTACAGAACAGCTGTGTGGACTCTTCACAGAGGCCCATGTCAAACAAGACACAAACAAGGGAGGAGCGATCTGGACAGGAGACAGAAGAGACACGCGCACACACGCATTGGTTAAGGAAGGTTTGTGGTTTGAACCCACCAGCCACTCCAAGAGGGAACAATGCAGCACTCTACTTCTGTAAAGATGACAGCCTGGGAAGTCTGTGGGGGTAGTTCTCTGTCTTACAGGGTCGTGATCCATTTGGAGACAGCACACCCTGTATAGAGTTTCCAAGGAGCGGCTGGTGAGTTTGAACCACCAATTTTGTAGTTCAAGCAGACTTTGTGGTCCAGCGCATTAACCCACAGCACCACACAAGGACTCAGTGAACCGGGAGTGGAGGGTTCATATTCTTTCAGTGTTTGTACAGGTTTAAAATTCATCAACATAAAAAGTGTAGGGAAATTTTTTTTTGAACCGTAAGCCTTTATTTTGGCAAATTATGCATCTCTGTAGATCAGCTCTCTGCCAGACAATAGACAGGCCTGCAAAGTGACCAATAACACCAGGGAGGAATACACATCTTAGAACAGTCAACAAGACCAAAAGACATCATTTGCTCAGAAGCAAAGTTCAGAAGGTGGAAGGGGCAGGAAGGAAGGATGAATGGAAACAGGGAACCCAGGTTGAAAATGGGGAGCACAGTGATTTTGTGGTGACTGCAGTCAGTGTCATGTGTGCATAAATAGGTGAACGGAAAACGAGTTTGCTTGTAAATGTTCACACTGATTACAACAGTTTTTTTTCAAAAACGAAAACTACTGGACTCGGGGCTGGGGGGTGGGGAGGGCGGATTTGTGAGGAAGGCTGGAGGTCTGAGCCTCCGTCTGCCCAGGGCCCCTTCTTGGGCTCCTGCACAAAAGGCACAGCGGACACATTTCTGTTGATCTCATCAAAGACCCCCAAGAGGTGGGCTGGACCAGTCTCATTTACAGATGGGGAAACTTAGATCAAGAAACTCGCTGCACAGCTGGACTAGAACTCAGGTCTTCTGACTTAAGCCTGATTAGTTAACCAGGCCCTGAAATCCTGCAGGCACCATCCAGCCTCCCAGTTATACTGGGGGTCCTCCTAGGTATTGTGCCCAGCTTTAGGGCCACGTTGTCAGCCTCTGAGCTCAGCATCAGACCTCTAGGCCCCTCACTACTTCCCAGCTCAACCCCAACCAGGCCTTCTCCTAACTCAGCATTCTCCCAAGCAAGGCAATAGGGTGCATCCCCTCCAGAACCACTTCTGCCCTCTTACCCAAGGCTGCCCTCTGAGAGTGCTTTGGAGAGCTGGTTAGATTTGGACAAAGGCAGGCAGGATTTCTTCTCAGGGGTGCAAGGCCACAGTTGTTGGGTCACACCTTGGCCTCCTCTTACCTGGCTGGCCTGGGGCTAAGAGCTCCCCATTGCTGTTTGGGCTCCGGGTCACCCCCCTCACCTACCTACAATTTCGTAAACCAGCCCTTGATTAAACGCTCCCCAGTTACCCTACTGGAGTTGGTCTTCTGGTTCCTGACAATGTAGAGAAGGCCACCTAATCTGATGCCCCTGCCTCCTCCCTTCACCCCCAAACTCTCCCATCTTCTGAGCCCCAGGAGGACAGATCCAGGCAGAGAGACCAGTAGCTTACAAAGCTTATCTTTATTGCTTTCTCGTTGCTTCCTAGAGCATCGAGTTGATCCCGAACGTGGCATTTGAGGAGATAAATACTTATTTTGCCCCCTACACCTTGGTAAGGGGGGGTTTAATAAAAATAGTAATATAATAACAATAATAATGACTGCAATCAATAATAAATGCCCCCCCATGGTCCCCTAATACACAGTTGGTTGAAGCTTCTAGAAAAAGGTTGCCCCTTTCTGGGAAGGCCAGAATAGACCCTCTCCCCACCAAGGAGCCTTATAAATACCCCCCCAAAATCACCCCAGCCCACCCCACCTGGGAATAGCTTCATCCTGGGCATGACTACGTCAGTTCTGCTCAGGGAGTTCCCTTCCCTGATCCCCACTTCACTGAGCTCCTGTGTTTTCCTCCTTCTACCTCTGCCTCCATCCCTCTAGTCTCTGCTTCCTCCTCCTCATCTCTTTATCCTCTCCTGCTCTGGATGCCTTCCAAGCTCTCATTCTCTTCCAAACACTCCTCCCCGACTCCTGTCTCCTTCTCACCTCATTCATCTACGTCCCTCTCCCTCCCCTCTAGCGTCCTTTCTTCTGAACCAACTTCTGAATGAACACTTATCTTTGCCACCCTGATTGGCAGTAGACCCGGGGTCTTTTCTCTCCCTCCCTGCTGGGTCCCCCTGGATCGGCACTGGGAAAGAGCTTTGGCACACGTGCCCCTGGAGATGAGGACCAACTCCCCCCAGGGCAGAGGGGGCTGTCTTTTTCCCCAGTGACCAGCACAGGCTGGGACCAGAGGGGAAAGGTGAGATGAAGGCTGGGAGGCGGGACCCCCTTGAGTCTTGGGAACCCAGGCAAGCATATCGCTGCTGCCCAGCCCAGGCCTTCCCTGAGTCTGAATTTCCACACATCCGGACCAGCCGGATAGGAGACTCCTTGAACTCTTGGTGCTCACACATCTCGTCCTGGGTTAGGGTGGTCCCTGCCAGAGGGCATCAAGGGCAGCTCTCTGAATCAGGGGCTGGAGGGAGGCTCCTGGGCCGCTCTGAGACCTGGAAGAGGTGGGGAGAGGAAGAAGTCAGGGTAGGCAGAGGCAGGCAGGACACATTCCTCCCCAGGCCAGGGCCTCCCAGAAGCCTCTAGCAGGGACCTTGAAGAAGGCCAAACGTGAGGGGTGGGGTGAGGTCATGGGAAGAACCTCCACCGAACCCTAACTCTGGAGCCCCACTCCTGCCAATCATTTGGCTAGTAGTCAAGTGTTTGGTCTTCTGCATCATCCAGGGGCTTCTCAGCTTCTGCTAGGGATACTAAGGGCTGGCCAGAACGCTCTCCCCATGTGCCAGGGACTTCCCAGGGATCATTGCTTCATACTTTCTCTGGCCTCTCAATAATGGCCTCAATTTACTGATGAGACAGGCTCATAGCCGCTAGGCAACTTGTCCAGGGCCACACAGTTGGGGCCCACTGATGAGACGGAGCTGCCCAGGGCAGGGATTGGCTCGGACCTCCAGTCCTGCACATGACCATGCATTGCACAGAACTGCCCCTCCATGGCTCACCTGTAGCAGGGAGCCCGCGGGGCTCAGCGATCCCTGGGGGCAGGACACGGACTCGCTGGACAGTGATGTCCGAGGTTTCCTCTTCACTGCTCCAGGGGCAAACAAGGGGTTAAAACACCAAGGCAAGTATTTGAGGGGCCCAAGAGGGTAGTGACAGGGCGGGATGTGGAGGTCCTAGAACCCCTAGGGTCATCCTTACTGTGGTCCACATCACCAGTGAGGACATCACTGCCCATGGAGGCTGGGCGCCGGGTGGCCTCCGAGAAGCTGTGGGGTCGCTGCGGGCCGGAGCTGCGGGCCCCTCGGCCCTTGGCTTCTGGAACCTGTTGGGGAACAGTGTGGAAGGGATGGGATGGGTGGTCAGCTCCGACGAGGGGAGGGCACTACACAAGCCAGAACAAGACCTGAAAGCCACCCAATCCACTTCGGATGTGCTCAGGGATCAGCGGTGACTCACCGGCCAGATCCAGGTAATCTCAGGTCTGCGATTTGCAAGAACTCACCAGGAGGCCTGCGATTGGCTTGAATTTAGCACAGAGGTCTGTGATTGGCTCCGGACTACTCACCCTGGACCTCCCGTCCGTAGGACCCATGTGCACCAGGTGGTTGAAGTTGGTTGGCCGTGAGATGAACTTGGAACGCACGAAGGGGTCCTTTAGCATCTCTCTGTAGGCCGACAATTGGTAAGCGGAGCCATGAAGGGGGGAACCTCCCCACCCTTCTGCCGTCTCCGCCCGCCCCACCTAGTCCCAATTTTGCGCACGCGCACCTGCGTTGCTGCAGTCGCTGCTCCTCCGACACACGGAAGAAGAAGCGGCGTTTGCTCTTGGTGCGGAAGAGCTGGCGCCGGCTGTTGTCTGTGAGGTCCGGGATGTCAAACTCGTCCTTCTCTGTGGGAAGGGCAGAGCTGGGCGGTGCTTCCAAGTCCCCAGGGCTAGGCGTGGGTCCGGGAAAACGCATACAGGAAGAACATGCTCTTGCACACACGTGCGCACACGCACACATGCCCTCACCTGCCAGCTGGTTCCTGAGGTAGGTCAGGCGGACCTTCTCGGTGCCAAAGAGGAACAGGGAGCCCTCGGGGTTCAGGGGTCGGACCTGGGGCAGTAGGCGCAGAGATCACTGCCTGCCTCCCCACTGAGAGCTCACCCCAGTCTAACCCAGGGCCTGGGAGTCCCTCACCTTCTTGAGTGGCACTGTCTGGACCCATTCTGTTCTCCTCAGGTCGAACACATCGATGGAGTTGTCACTGAACACTGTCAGGTAAGGGGCTGCGTAACCTGCAGGTAGGACACTGTCTGTACTGTGCAGCTCAGGCTACCGCTCTGATCCTGTTTCCTTCTCTGTGCCAATGGATATCTTGTGCCTTGTCACAGCATAGTGACCACCTGGCTCTTTCTGTGAGAACAATCCTGGCAGACCCACCCAGCCTCCACCATACAATTGTCACAGATAACAATTCCAGAGCACTCGTGACATGCAGGACGCACATCTCCATACTGCCCTGTCCCCCTTAATTCTCAAAGGACTGAGTAGGTACCGAGGTACCGTCATCACCTCGGAGAAAATGGAAACTTCGGAGCAGGTGAGCCCGAGCTGGGACCTGGACCTGGACTGCCAGACCCTGAGCCCATAGGCTGAAAGTCTGTTACCCTCAGCCATCCCAGAAAGAACCAAAGCTTATGAGGGAACACCCCTGTCCCCGCTTACAGAACTTCCCGGGCCCATTACTGGTGAAGTGCAGGCTTCCCTACCACCCCGTTCATTCATTTACTGCCCTAACAGAGCCCTGGGTATGCCTGCCCCAGCTGAAATGTGTGGGTCCTAGTTCACCAAGCCCGTCTTACAGTACCCCAACCCACCACCATCTTGTTGGTTTCGATTCCTAGTGAATGAGGCCTAAAGATGGCGTACGGCAGGGCAGGGAGAAGGTAAGCAGTACAGACAGCAACCAGAGTCCTTGGGCCGAACTGACACTAGAGCTGGACTTGGTTAAGGGTTTTCCAGGTACCAACAGGATACCAGTTCCACAAGGGCATGAACTGAGATGTGGAAGAGGAAAAACCTACGCCAAGTAGTCACCAAGTGACACCCAGGGTTACGGAATATGGAGGCTCCAAGGCCAAGGCCAAGCCCAAGAGTTTGGAAGGGACCCTGGCTCTGTCAAGTGGGGTGCATGGTAGGTATCTACAGCCCAGCCCAGCCCCACTTTCCCGAGGCCTCACCCCAGCCCGTGGGGGCTGCTGGCCACAGCAGCTCGGGGCCTCGAGACTTGCGGCCAGCGCTGTCCACGTAGACACCAGCAGTGGTGAAGAGCAGCAGGAACTCACTGAGGCTAAGCTCAACAGCGCCCAGTGCCTCACCCAGGCCCCCGCGGGATGGCGGCAGGTCTTCGGGCCCTAGCCCGGGCCCTAGCGCTAAGGGCGCAGCCTCGTTAAGCAGCGGGTAGAGGGTGAAGGTCCCGGCCGCACCCACACACAGCCGGTCACCCAGCAGCCCTAGGCTCTGCACAGGTGTAGGCACCTGCAGCTCACGGATACGGTGATGCCAGGGCCCTGGGCCGGGTCCCAGCTGGTAGCAAAGCACCTGGCGCTTGACAGCTATACAGAGCACGGGTGTGCGGGCCTGCAGGATGCGCCCAGCTGCCAGCATCTGGCAGCCACGAGACTCCGGAATCTTGGAGCCAGTGGCTTCCACGTTCTCCAGCTCAGCAAGGACAAAGAGGCGCACGCTGGGGCCGCGGCCACACAGTACAACCAACAGGCCTGACGTGGGGCTCACGGCCAGCTGCTGCACCCGCCGGCACTCGCCCACCTGGAAAATGTCTGTGGGGATAGCGAAGGGGAGAGTGTCACCTCGCAGTGGGGCAGTGGGTGAGGAGCTGTCCACTTCCCCTCCTGTGCCCTGGGCTGACCCCACCATGCCCACCCTGGCCCCAGGGGATGTACCGTTGCTGTGTAGATGGATCACAAACAGCCCTTCCTCAGTGCCCAAAGCAAGTCGTTCCTGGTCTGGGAAAAGAAGGTCCAAGGTCAGAGGGACTGACTGGCCATCAGTGAGGAGATTGCCTGCCCTTGCTGGGCCTCAGTTTCTTTTGAGAAAGTAAGGATGGTGATCCCACGGTCCCTGCCTCGCTGGTCCCCTCTCAGAGTCTGGACTGGCTGCAGGGACAGGGCTTAGGGTCTGAGGTGTGGATTTGGAGTAAATCACTTGCCCTCTCTGAGATTTTGTTTCCCCTTAATGTTTGTTGTTTTTGTTCAGCAACGTTGACTTGGTTCCAACTCATGGTGACTCCTACAGGGTTTCTAAGGAGTGGCTAGTGGCTTTGAAACTCCAGCCTTGTGGTTAGCAGTCTAGTGCTTATCCAACAGTGCCACACTAGGACTCCTCCCCTTGTGTGGTTAGGGTGGTTATCTGCTGTGGAGTCGGTTCCGACCCATAGCAACCCTGTACAGGGTTTCCGAGGCTGTAAATCTTTACAGGAGCAGAAAGCCTCATGTTTCTCCCGCGGAACCGCTGGTAGTTTCAAACTGCTGACCGTGAGATTAGCAGCCCGATTTCATAATCAGAAAGAGCTCTGGTAGTGTAGCGGTTACGAATTGGGCTACGAACCTTGAGGAAGCGGTACAAGTATAGGTTATGTTAAACAACGCGCCAGTCCTACTCTACAGTTCTCCTCATCCTCATCTTCCAGCTTTACTGAGCTAGAGGACCCACAGTCTCCCCTGTGGCCCCACCCAAGTAACCACAGAGAGAGACCCCAGCTTCCCGAGAGCAGGTGCTGGCTCGAAGCCAAGGACCAGAGCTGCCACGTCTTTCTCTCCCTACTGAACACTGGGAACCTCACAGCAGCCCCACAGCACTGACTCACGGTGACCCTACGTGCTACACAGAACAGCTCCATAGGATTTTCTTGGCTGATTTTTACAGAAGCCAGATCTCCAGGCATTTCTGTGGTACCTACTGAGTGGGTTCAAACCACCAAACAGTAGGTTAGTAATCAAGTTAACTATACTACCTAGTGAACTGCTGTGTTGAATTGAAAAAACCCCTCAACAACACAAAGAACCGTAGAGCTGTCAAATCAATTTCAACTCATAGCAACCTTGTTAAGTGCCGTTAAGTTGGTTCCAACTCACAGCAATCCTGTATAGGGTTTCTAAGGAGCGGCTGGTGAGTTTGAATTGCGGATCTTGTGATTCAAACCGACCTTGCAGTCCAGTGCTTATCCTACAGCGCCACACCAGGACTCCTGTAGCAACCCTAGTCCCCCCAGATTCATGACCTTCCTGGAACTTCAGAACGTGACCTTATTTAGAAACAGGGTCCTGGCTGACATCATTAATAAAGATTAGGTCATACTGGAGCTAGAAGGGGGGGCCGGGGGAGGCCTGAATCTAATGACTGGTGTCCTTATAAGAAGAAAACAAAGACACAGACACTGCCATGTGACCAGGGCGGCAGAGACGGGAGCAATGTGTACGGGCCAAGGAGCACCAGGGATCACCAGCAACACTCAAGCTCGAAGGAAAACCAAGCACGGGACAGACTCTCCTACAGCCTCCAGAACTGGGAGGGGAGGGATTTGTGTTCTTCAAACTGCCCAGTCTACAGAATCACCCTGCCCCGCCATGCCCCATAGGAGACAGAGGGAGGCTCACGTGGCCATCCAGCTGGCAATAGGAATGCCAGGGCAAGGACCCTTGCTTCTTTTTGCTTCTTCCACTGGCATAAGGGATGGATGCTTTTATTTTTTTTTTAAAGGAAAAACTGAGGCACTGAGAAATGGAGTGATGAGAAGTCAGGTCCCTGCCCACTCCACTTCCCAGGGCTCCTCACACAGCCATGGCTGGAGGCCGTCGTGGGCTCCCACTGTGGCTGCAGGGACTGGGCAGCGGTAGTGGCCCAAGCCAGCACTGTCCAGTCCTGAGGGACTCACCGATGATGGCGGCGCAGAGCACGTTGGGCAGCAGCGGCAGACCGTTGTCATAAGCTTCCTTGAGGGTGTATACAGGTCGGGGCCTCGGCCGCACGTCTTGTAGCAGCCGTTGCAGTTCGCCCAGCACCTGCAGCCAGCGCTCCCGTTCAGCCTCGCTCTCCGCCAGCAGCAGCACAGTGCACATGGTGGGGGGCACGGCCAGCTGGGAGGCTGTCACCTGTGGGCAGGGATCCAGGCTGGAGAGGCCAGGGGCCAGCCCTCCTCCCGCTGCCCTCTTTCCACCAGCTGCTGAGTGCCAGGGGCAGGGCTGGCCACAGCTCTAAATTAGACAGGAGTCCCACAAGCTCATGGGCCATTCCAGGGATGTGTATTCAGTACCATGACTGAGGAGGAGGACGGGGCATTGTGGGAACACAGGGGAGGGCCCCCAACCCAGGTCAAGAGGTACAGGAAGACTTCCCGGGAAGACCTGTTAGCTGGAGCCTGAGGGACAGAGAGGTGTCCAGGATGAGTCGACATGGGTGAATGGCTGGGTGCTGGGAAGGGCTTGGCGGTTCCAGACAAAGGGAACAGAATGTGCAAAAGCTAAGAGCTAAGGCTTAAGTGGGCATTCCTGCAATTGCAGGAAGTGTAGCAGGGCCTGAGCATAGGCACTGGGTGGAGACGGCGTGGGGCTGGGTAGGTCTGCAGGGGCACTGGGGAGCCACAGAGGATCCTAGCAAGACAGAGTCATGCATGTACAGCTCACTACAGCTGCAGGGAGCTAGTAGGTGCAGGTGCCAGAAGACAGACTATTGTCACTGTTTAAATGCATGAGGTGAAGAGGTGGCCAGGGGTTAGAAAAAGTACCAGAGCAGGGATGGTGTGGGGACGGGAGGGGAGGCCCACCCAGGCACTCACCCTAAAGATGCGTGGCAGTTCCCTGGATTGGGCGTGGATAACATCAGAGGGCTGGACGGGAGTGGCCGAGAACTGGGGGTCCCTGGGATGTCCAAGGAGCAGGTCAGAGGATGCACTGGCCAAGCTGTCCCCCTCACCCCTGAGTCCCTTACTCCCCAGCTACCTCAGATCCAGTGCCTGGAAGAGAGCTGGGCTAAGTCTCTGGTCGGGGGCATCAAACAGCAGCAGGCGTGAGTCGCTGAGCGCAGCGAAAACCCGCTGCCAGCCTCGGCGGACGCCAGAGGGTCGGGGTACCTGGAGGAGAGGCAGGCGTGGTGGGTCCTGCTCAGGCCCGCACCCCCTCCCCATCCCATCTTCCACACAGCTCACCGACAGGAAGCCCTCATAGGCGGTGCCTGTGCCGGTCTCGGGGTGCACTCCCAGGGCCGTGCGGAGGAGGTCAGGGGGCACAGGGCAGGGCGGGGCTTGTGGGGCGCATGTGGAGTGGCAGAAGTAGCCGCAGGCTGTGGGAAAGCAGGAGGGCAGTGGTCTGAGTACTAAAAGCAGGCTTTAGCCTCTGGGCCTTCTCTCCCACAGTCTCCCTCAGGCCTTGGTGAACCAGAACCACTTCCACATCAAGTGAGAATAAAACCAAGCTGGTGAAGGGGTGAGAGACCCAGGCCCCTGACCCCATCATGCATATCCCTCCCTGAGGGGGTGTGGGCTCACCATCACAGCCCAGGCCCTGACGGCCCAGGCCCAGCATCAGCGAGGTGCAGCGGAGACACTTGGTGGGGGAGGGGAAGGTCCGAGGGCGTAGCATGTGTGAGCCGGGCTGGAGAGGGGGGACATGCCATCACCCCAAGCTTGACGTGGCTTCCCCAGACCCCACACCAATCCCTGAGGCTGCCCAGGGGTAGGAGACTTGGAACTGGGCCCGAGGGAGTAAGGCCCCCCAGTGAATTTACAGTAACACTTCTAGTCAATGCTACTGGGACCACCTCCTGCTTTGGAGAAGGGCTCGTGGGGCAGAGGCAGCCACCTGACCAGGGGAGACTGGCCACTGTGGCACTGACCTTAACAGGGGGGCTGTCGGCAGCGGCTGTGGGGGCAGCAGCAGGTATCCTGGGGAACACAGCCTATAGGGGGTGGGGGAAGCAGACAAGTGAAGGGGAGTGGAGCAGAGGAATGAGGCCTGGCCCTCCAGCTCCAGGCCCCCTGCCTTTCTCACCCCCATTCGCAGGCTGCGGCGGCCCTCTGGCCTCAGCTCAGGCTCCAGTCCTGGCTTCTGAGCCTCTCCCCAGATGCCAGAGTCCTTGGCAGAGTCCTTCTGGGGATGGAGGGTGGGGCGGGGACAATGTCAGGGCCCCTGTGGCTCTGCCTGGCCCCCCAGCCCCTGCAGTTCCTCCCTGGTCCTTACCTCCGAGTTCCAGAAGGACAGGAAGGGGATCAGGGAGCTCGAAGACTTGGTGTCTAGAGACAAGAAGGAAGGGTGACGGGCGGCACCAGCCCTGAGGAACCAGTGGTCAGCGGGGGCCTCAGTTTCCACCCGGTCAAATGGGCAGACAGTGGCAGCCTGGGGACAGGCAGGAGGGTCCTTCCCCTCGGACTATGAGACTGGGGGCAGGGGCTGACCACAGGAAGGGGTGGACAGCCACTCACCAGCAGGCCCTCGAGTCTGCAGCTCCTCACGCAGCACAGCCAGTTCCTGTCTCAAGCTCTGGTTCTGTTTCTCAGCCTCCTGCAGACGGCTGGGGAAGGACGGGGTAGGCTCAACACAGGCCTCTCCCCACAGCCCTACAGGCTGGTCTCTTCTGGATCCCAGGTCCCTTGCCGCGCCCAACCTGCCTCACCTCTCAGACCGCAGCTGAGCCTCCTGCAGCTGGGTCAGCTGCTCTTGTAGGCCCTGCTTGGCGCGGATCTCAGCCTCGAGTGCTGACTGCAGCTCCAGCCGGGCCGAGGCCTCCATCTTCTGCAGCCGTCTCGCCTTCCACTGGTGGTCCTAGTGGCCGTGGGGCCCCCAGAGTGTCAGAGGCCCTCCCAGCAGGGCATCACTGCCCACACTACCTGGTGAGATCCACTAACCCGCTATGAGCTCGTGAGCTCAGTGTCTGCCTCCCACCTGCTGGATGACGCTTCTGTGCCCCCTGGGGTGTGTCTGGGCTCACCAGCGGCTGGGCAGGGAGCGTCTGGGTGCCCACATTGCGCAAAGATTCCAGTTCCTCGGCCATCTTGGTGGCCAGGGCCTGTAGGTAGCCCCTTGAAACCTTCTCATCATTCACCCTGGTTGGGAAGGGTCCAGTGTCATAGGCTAAGAGTCAGCACTCTGCAGGCCCTGGCCCAGGCCCAGGCTCGTGGGTACCCACCAGCTGAGGATGTCGGCGATCTGGGCCTCCCAGTTACTCTCCGTCTCCTGTCGCTCACCCTCCAGCCGCTGTTTATTCTGCTGCTCCCGCTCCAGCTCGGCTGCCAGCTGTGGGCAGGGCAGGAAGGTGTCTCAGTCCCCAGGGGAACCTGCCACCCTGTCCCCCACTATCCCCACTACCACTCCTAGTTTGCTTACCCTCTCTCAGATACAGCAAGGAGTCAGCCCACGCCTAAATCTAGCAGCTCTGACCACCCACCCAGCTGGCTCCCCTGTGCCCAGCCATTGGCTGCCTTGCGTCTGGCCCCTGCTCACCCGCTGTTGCTCCTGGCTCAGCCGCTGGTTCTCCTCCTGTAGCTGGCACAAGGCTTCCTCCTTCTCACTCAACCTGGGGACGGGAGGGTCGAGGATGGGAGGCGAGTTCTAGGCCCTGGCTCCGTTCACCCTCCTTGGTTACCTGACTCACCCGTGGCTGTTGCCCTGGTCCTGCTGAGCACACAGGGCGGCCACTTCCTTCTGAGGCTGGTCCTCCTGCAGTCCGCCCCCAGGAGATCCTGTGCCATTGGTCTCGGAGGCTGTGTGGCCACTCTTGAGGACACGGAGAGGGGTCAAGGCCTGTAGGCCACACCTCTCAGTGAGGGGGCACAGCCTCACCTGCACCGACTCCTTGTCCAGACTCTGCTCCTGCTGTCTCTGGAGCCGGGTCACCTCCTGGTTCAGTGTGGCCACCTGAGCCTCCAGCTGAGAGGGATAGAGAAACTGGCAATGTTGGCCGTGCCCACCCTGGCCCCTCGCCCTACTTGTTCCAGGCTCTCAGACTCTGCCAGCCAAGACACAAGAGAGGAGAGAGCCAACCATTCCTGAGGCCCTTTCCCTCACTGAGGCCTCAGCAGGCCACAGTGGAGTACAGACGCCAGCAGCTCCCACCAAGCTCCCCATGCTTTCTCCAGATGCAGTGGAGATTGAGAGGCTCCCCCGGCCCACCCCACCCAGTACCCACCTCACTGCGGGCACCCCAGGCTTCCTCCAGCTGGGAGTTCAGGGCCTGGGTCTGGCTGGCTGCGGCTGCCTCCCTCTCCTGAGCCTCTTGCAGTCTCCGCAGCAGCTCCTCCTGCCGTTGCTGGGCTTGGCCCAGCTCCTCTTCCAGCCCCCGAAGCCCTGTCTGAGCTTCAGTCAGCTCCTGGGAGTTGGGGGCAGAGAGATCAAGGCCTGGGTCAGCACACAGACCCTTTCTGTACCAAGCCCAGTCACTCGGCCACCAGCTCTCACCTGGCAGAGCTGGTCTCGCTCCCGCAGTAGGTCACTGGCCTGGCCTGGGCTGCCAGCAGGGGGCCCATCCGTCTGGGACCAGGGGGCCTTGTCATTTCCTAGTGTCTCTGCCAGAGTAGTCACAGAGATTGCCCGTGTGGACTGTCCATCCCCGGCCGGTGCTCATGGAATCCTCATCCCTGCCCGCCTTCCCCAGGCAAGCTCAAAGAGCTTCGGAGTCTTCCCTGAGACCATACAGCACATAGCAGGGGCCGGACTAGAACCCAGGTCTGACTCTGTGTGTCCTGGGGGAGGACCGAGACGGGAGGACTCAGGGGAAGAGGGTTACCTGGCAGTCTCTCCCGTAGGGTTAACACTTCCTTCCGTAGTCGCTCCAGCTCCTGATGGTCTGAAGGTGTCCACTGGGTCTCTGTCCGGGGAGAGGTCACAGGTGAGCAGCTAGCCTGCAACAGTGATCCCCTGGTGGGGTCCTGCCCCGCTCAGTCTGGCTGACTCCCCAACTCCCCAAAGCACCGTGGGGCTCCCGGCTCAGCTCTGTTTTTTCCTCCTCCAGCGCAGTTGGCCACTCCGAGCTGCCCTCAGGACCAGGCCTAGAGAGCAAGGACTACAAGTTGGCAAACGCCCTCCCCCAAAAGCCTCCTCCAGCATCTAATCTTTAACTCAACCAAGAGAGACCCAGCCTGCCTCTGTCCTGGGGCAAAACAGGTCACTCAGGAGCCCACAGGGAAGACCCCTCAGGAGATGCCCAGGCTGGTCCACACACCAGCCCAGGGCAGTGGTTCCAGGGCCCCCCAGGCTGAGTTCAAGTTCCAAACGGCTGTGTGTGACCTCAAACAGTCCTAACAACATGCATGTGACACCAAAGCCTCTTCCAAGGCCTGTCAGGAGGACTCAGTGATTTGGGCTCATAGTAAATTTGACATGCGCGGGTTGGCCTGGGGTCTCTCTTCGCCCTTGGGTCGGGCCGGGGTACCTCTGTGCCCAGGACCTCAGTCTGGTTCCATAGATGAGATCAGACCAAGAGTATCCTGCCCATTTCACAGAGACACAAAATAAGGCTCGGGGAGCAGTTGGGCCTTTCAGACCCTAGGCCTCTGGCTTGGAGACCAGAGCAGTCTCGGCCTGTTTTGAAGAGTGCTACTGCTGCTGTGTGCCGTGGAGTCGGTTCTGACCCATAGCGACCCTGTCCAGGGTTTCTGAGGCTGTTAATCTTTATGGGAGCAGAAAGCCTCATCTTCCTCCCGCGGAACAGCTGGTAGTTTCGAACTGCTGACCTTGCGGTTCCCAGCCCAATTCGTAACCACTACGTTACCAGAGCTCCTGAAGAGTGCAGTGAGGGTTAAATGCTGGCATGGGGCCCAGAGAGCCCTGAGGATGGGGGGATTCTCTTCTGAAGGCTCAGAGCACACTTTTACACACCTGCCTCATGCTAACACAAGAGGGTCATCCCGCCCCCTTGTCTTGGGGTCCTGATGGGCTTTGTTCTCAGCACCTTCCTGGCCAGACAGCTCTGGCTTCCCATCAGGGGGAACTCAAGACCCCAGAAGGTGAGGGCAAGACTTACCTGGCTGAGGTATAGGTAAAGCCCACGAATGGCAGGTGGTGCCCTGAGAAGGCCCCATGGGAAGGTGGCGGCAGAGTGCCCTGCAGAGGAAGCAGAGCCTGAATCCCCTGCACCAGTTGAAGCTCTGGAAGGTCCCCTGGGACTGGGCAGGACCACCTCCCCCATCACCCATGCAACCTTGAGACTGGGGCTTTCCAGGGGGCGACTGGGACTCTTCTTCCTTATATGAATTCTGGCTAATGGTTTATGTGACATTTGGGGTCACAAGACTTTCACTTGGCACAACCCACCCTCAGCGTAGATTAACCCCAGGGAAGCCATGACTCTGATGAGCCTGTGGGGTCCAACAGCCTCTTCCCTACTAAGCAGCTACTCTGGGGAAATTCTGGGGGGCTCCCGGGCCAGTGAGGAGGGTCAAGATAGCGCTTCTCCTGCAGGAGAACTGAGGACTCACTGGGTGGTTCAGGGTGTCGTCATCCACATCGAAGTTTGAGGTGTCCATGGGCCCACGGAGCTCAGGAATGTAGGGAGCAGTGCTGGTTGCCAGCCGTTCCCAATCCACACCTTCAAAGAAGGGATGGTTCCGGAAGTCGTCCAGCCCACCGCAGCCCAGACGCTCCTCCTGACGGCACAGCAGCTGGCGGATCAAGTCTTGTGCACAGGCCGGCACGTCGGGCACGTCCGGGGGGAATTGCAGGTGGTCCTGTGGGCCGAGCCATGGAGGGGAGCGTGGGTTCGAGATCCCACCTTCCTGGGCAAGTGTACCGCCACTCTCCCCAGAACCCCAGAGCTTGCGGGCAGACCTCATGGTTCATGATCTTGCCATAAGTTTCCACCAGAGACTCAGCATAGAAGGGTGTTTCCCCAAAGAGTAGCTCATAGGCACAGACTCCCAGTGACCACCAGTCACACTGTGGCCCATAGTGACTCTTGCCCTCTTCCATGGCCTGCAGGATCTCAGGAGAGATGTAGTCTGGCGTCCCTACTGCCACCGACGAGTCCACCTGTGTTTGGGGGGGGGGGGGGGTGATGATGCCAACATGACATGGCCTGAGCCCCATGTTTCTTTCCCTAGGAGCCTAAGGCATCTCACTGGGCCCGGTGTCTTCCTCCCTTGGATTCCCCTACTAGGAAGCAAGTGCCTCACCATGCCACTGTTGTTAAGACGCAGGCAGGAGCCAAAGTCGGCCAGGCGGATGTGCCCATTCATGTCCAGCAGGACGTTGTCCGGTTTGACATCCCTAGGGAGGGCAGGCAGAGGGAGGGGCTGGGTCTGTGCATGTACTAGTGTGCATACGTTCATACAAGCTCCCAAGCACACGTGGCATGTGCATGCTGGAGGGAAAGGTGGCGGGTGGCCAGGCCTCCCGGCTCCCAAGGGTGGCCAGGCTGGGGAAAGAAACCTGTAAGGTGGGCCCTTGGAGGCAGTAGAGTGATGTGGGGCATCACTGTCGTCAAATGTCCCCAGTGCAAACTCTGATGTGAGTACTGCCCAGCTGGGCTATTCGAGCCAAATGCTGACCTTTGTGAGCCCTGTCACCTGGAAAACGGGGACCTAGCAGTCCGTCACATACGCTTTGGGAACCAGGACTAAAAGGGGCCAGTGCACTCTCAGTACAGTGCAGTGTCCTGGGCGCATGCAGGGCAGACGTCAGTCCCCAGCCCCCCACCAGAACTCTCGGGGGGTGGGGCGGCTGGGTAGGGCAGTGGGGGCTTTAGAACCCCACCTGTGGACATAGCCGAGCTGATGAAGTGAGTGAATGGCCAATACCATCTCAGCCAGGTAGAACTGGGCCAGCTCCGGTGGGAGGCGGTCCTCAAAGCGGCTCAGCAGCGTCAGGAGGTCCCCGCCAGCATAATAGTCCATCACCAGGTACTGGGGGTTGGGGACCAGGGTCAGCAGGCCCCAGGACTCTGCCCCCTGCCCACCCCGTGGTGGTCTCTGAGACCCCATGGTTGTTGAGACATGGCAATGGTGTGTCTCTCTCCTTGGACCCAGTGCCCCTGGTCCCCCAGGGCCTTCTGTCTCCTCTGCTCCCAGGTGACCCCCTTCTGTCCCCGTCAAGTATCCTTACCAGACACTCCTCATCCTGGAAGGCATAGTGCAGGGCGGTTACCCAACGACTGTCCCCTTTCACCAGGACATCTCGCTCCTCACGGAAACAGGCTGTCTGCAGCAGAAGTGGGGAGGGATGGGTGGCTTCTTGTGAACCCAAGCCCTGTTCTATGACTCAGGGACTCAGTTTTGTCATAAAGGAAATGGGAATACTCTGCTTGCTTTTAAGAAAGGCTTGCTGTGAGGATGGTGAGGAAGGAGGTCAGCAGATAGTGGGGATGGCACCCTCAGCAGCGCTGCCCCTCCCTGGATGCTCCGGTCCTATCTCCTACCCACCCATTCACAGGGTGCCAAACTTCCACCAGGCCCCAAACTGACCTCAGCCCGCTTCAGCATCTCCCATTTGTGTAGCATTTTCATGGCAAAAATCTGCCCGCTGTCCCTCTGCCTCACCACAGCAACCTACGGCCACAGGGAGGCTGGGTCAGCAGGCCTGGGACAGACAGCCTCTCCCCTCCCACCCCCCACCCCCCAGCACAATGCTCACCTCCCCAAAGGCCCCTCGGCCGATCACCTTCAAGATCTCAAAGTCATCTCTCTGCAGCCGTAGCGCCTTCACCTTTGCTACGAAGGGGCTGGCTAAGGAGGATAGAGAGGGGCTCAGGGAGCTGGAGGGTTGGAAGGGAGGCCAGGAGTGGGCAGGGATGTCTTCCTGGGGAGCACTGAGAGGAGATAGGGCAGGGCACAGAAGGTGGAGGTGCTGGCTGAGCCTGGACCTCCCTGAATCCAGGCCTTCAAGGGTCATCCCCAAGGGCTGATGGGACTTGTAGTCCTCTGCAGCCTGAGGACCAGCCGCTGGCTGACCAGGTCACTCTGAGGGTACTGGGGGCACCACTCTCCCCCAAGTCAAGTGCTTGGCCCCTCACAGTGCCGGGGGGCGGGGGCAGGTTGGGGGAACTGGAAAGGTAACATTCTTTGATCCATGAAAGACTTTTCCAATAGTCAGGAACTGGGGGCCTGGGTCTGAGGACCTTGCGGGCAAGGAAGTACTGGTCAGTCCCTGAAGGCAGGTAGGACAATAGTCCCACAGGGCTCTGGAAGTACATGCGCCAGGATCCCCATGAGGCCTCCTCCTTAACTGGGCACTTGATGCCAATCTGCCCAGGTTCTCTCAAAACTCAACAAGTGAGCCAAGAAAACCTTACTCTGGCTCGGCCACTGGCATCCGAAGGTGAGAGCATGCAGGATCCCAGCACCTCTAGGCCCTGCCACTGGATGCCCTGTTGCCTGGCCAAGAGCTGTCGTTTGCCCTGTAGTCCTGGCATCTCCTGTCCCTTCCAGGCCCCTTCGCACCTCAAGCCGGGAGTAGTTCTAGACCTGGCAGTGGGTGCTCTTGGAAACGCAGGGAGACAAGAGCACCCAGTAGGGGTCGGGGGCAGCTGAGGAGGTAAGCTCCCCGCTAGCTGGGATGGTCTGTGGGTGGGGCAGTGAGCTGCTCCACAGGTTTGTCAGGAAGAGTCTCGCAGCGGGGGTGGTGTGGAAACCTCCTTCCAGAAATGTATCTGTCTCTTTCCCAGCTCTATGGGGAGCTTCAGAGGAATAGTCACGGTCCTCCAAAGAGGAATGGAGACTGGGGCAGCTAGGAACTAAAGTTCAGGAACCCCTTTAGGAGCGTCCAGACCCCCAAGCCAGGCTGTCCAGTCCCCTCGTCTTACCACAGATTGGGGGTTGGGGGGGGAGCTCTGGGCAGGAGCAGGGACAAGTTAGGGCAGGAAAGGAGTGAGTCACCGCCCTGGGAGTTACCTCGGGACATGTCAACAGGCAGGCCCCCACGCCGGGGTCCCGGGGATCGGTGCCAGAGGCGGACAGGGAGGAGCACACCATGTATGCAAACACACACACACAAACGCGTGCGTGGGAGTCCCAGGGGCTGGTGGCAACACGGTTAGACGCGCGCACATACACACAGGAGGCCTGGTTAGACAGGCAGGCCAGCGGCTGAGAGCCTCTGCTTGCCTCACCAGAGAGGAATGGGCTGGACAGCTGGCCCCCAACTGTGCCAGACCCAGCCCTGTGCCTGGCCAGAGCTCAGGATTGCCAGGAACGCCGGTCGCCCACTGGGCAAACACCCAGCTCACCCCTCCTTCCAGGTCAGGCCCCATGTCCTCCATACATTGGCCTGGTGTGACCAGGGAGCCCTTGGGCGGCCACCAATGCTCTGAGACCCTGGGCTCAGGGTCACCCCGGGCCAGCCACTCACGGTGACGCAGATGAGTCACCAGGAAAGGCAAAGACCCACCTCCAGCCAGTCCCCCACCCTGGTCCTGGGAAGCCTGGCCAGTGGCTTGCTCAGACCGAGGGGTCGAAGTGGGTTGCTGTTTTCAGCCTGGGTGCTCTTGTCTGCAAAGAGCCAGAAATAGGCATGTGTGTGTGTCCCCAGGTATACCACACCTGATTGCTGAGGGCAAGTAAGTAAGCAGGTGAGTGTGTGTGCCAGATGGTCAGCAGTTCAGTGTGGGTTTCCTGGGTCTCCTTAGGGTGTAAGTGTCCCAGTGAGGGTGTCAATGTGTGATATGCACATCGTGGGAACATGTATGTTCCTGTGGGTCTGGGAGATGTGGGTGTGAGCAAGGCCCACTTGGTGTGTGTGTATGTCAGGTCTGTGTGTGGGAACAAATGTGTGTGTGCCCCCAGAGTCTTAGGCTGTGTGGCAGGTGTCGTATACATGTGTGAGATCCAAGTGAGTAGGGGTCGCTAGGAGTGCCTCAGTGCCAGGTGAGCCCGAGGGTCTAAGGGGTGCAGGAGAGAGCCAAAGTCGGTGAGTCTGCGAGGGGCGCTTGGGAGCCAGGGGCTCTGTGGTTTGTGAAGCGCATGGCAGCTAGGGGTCCCAGAGCGTTGTCCCTCCGGCCACCCTCCAGCCCCGTCCCCACCACTCACCCCAGCTCAAGAACTGCGCGACGTGGCGCTCCCGCCGCAGGGGGGCGCTGCTGAGCTCGTGGTGCAGCGCCAGTAGTAGATCCAGGAGGCCGTCGAGCCCGGGACCGCCGCCGGCCTCGTCCCGGGCCAGCCGCTCCAGCGCGCTCAGCCGCCGCTCCATGGCTGCGGCCGGGGCCCCGCGTCGGGCTAAAACCCGGCCGCCCGCATGTCCGTACGCCCGTCGGTGCGTCCGGCTGGCTGCGCGTCCTAGCCCCCGCCCTCTCGCCTTCCCCGCTGTCACCTTCCTCCGCCGCCGCCTGTGCGCCTCACCTGGGCACCGCGCCCCGCCCTCTTCCCCGCCCCTCGACGGACGGGCAGGTGCGCGCCGGCCAATGGGAGCCGCGGCTGGAGGAGACGGTGGGAGGGTGGAGGTGTGCGGGGGCGGGACCAACTGAAGCCAGGAAGTGGGGGCGGGGGGGCCCGAAGAGTAACTCCTGGGTGGGCGGGGAGAGGCTTCAGGGGGGCCGAGAAGTTCGTCCAGAGTTCCCCGCGGCCCCAGCCCTAGACCTGCAGGGACTTTAGTAGGCCCCCAGTCTAGGTGGGGAATACACGGGGCATTTACAGTGTCCCTCGCTCTCTGGGCAGCGGCGGCCTCTCCCTTGGCCCAGGGAGGGGGGCGGGAGACTCCCGCGGGCCCAGAGCTCGATGGGAATTGTAGTCCGCTCCTTCACCTGGATGCCGGCCTCTCTTGGCACACTCTTCTCCCTCCACGCCCCCTCCACCACCACCACCACTCCGCCCTGCCCCGCCCTGCCACTCCGCAATCGCGCGCCAGTTTCTGACCTCACTTTATTTTTTGTATCCATATAACAAGACCTGGGAGACAAATCGGCGGGGCAAAGATGGTTACAATCCATTTAACAGATGGGCACACTGAGGCCTGGGAAGAATAAAGAATTGAAGGGCTGAGAGTGTGGAGGTTTCGAGGTAGACACTGGAGGGCCGGGGCTCGTACTTGCAGCACAGACTTTTGAAGCCTAGGGAAACAGGACCTAGAGTGGGAAGACCAATAAGTCTGAGCCTGGCTAGAGGACTCCGGGAGGGAAGAGGTGGCTGGCTTTCTTCACTGGTAGTCCTGATTTCTGTTTGCCACCATAGGTCGTGGGTGTATCCACAGTGAGAGGCTTTAGACAACAAATTCATTGAAAGATCTCTTTGGGGGGCGCCTCCTTCCTCATACAGGCACTTCTTGGCAGGCAGGGTGAGGTTCCCCATATTGAGAATGCCCAGCACTTCCCGACGGAGCTCCACTCACGTAGCCTACTCTGGGGTTTTGCAGCGCCCACAATCTGCGAAATGGGAAACAGTCGATCTGGGAGAAAGGCAGCCAGGATTCAATCCCAAATCTGGGGACCGTCTCACCGCCTAAATTTCTTCGGGGAAAGGAGTTTACACGTTTCATCCAGCCCTCCTGGTTCTCAACTGAAGGATTTTGGGACCTAGTTAATGGGGCGGGGCCTACAGGAGGCAGGAAGGGGTCCTACCTTCCGATGCCACACGGGGGCGCCAGAGACCAGAGGAGGGCAGGACCAAGTCCCCATCTCCCCATCTTCCCACGGAGGTGGGAAGAGGCCCTGGGCGGGACGATGGGCCCCCTTCTCGGATGCGTCTCTGAGACCCTCAGTCCTCAGGGGTCAGTAGTAAAAGAATAGATTGGCATGATCACTGGGTGCTCGCTCATTCCCTGTGTGACCTCAAGAAAAGTCCCTTGCCGTCGAGTCGATTCCAACTCATACGACCCTATATAGGGTTTCCAAGGAGCGGCTGATGATTTTGAACCACCCATCTTGCAGTTCAAATAGACTTTATAGTCCAGTGCTTTATCCTACGGCACCACACTAGGACTCAACCTCTCTGAACGCTGAGATGCTGAGTTGTCAGAAAAGCCCTTCCTTTGGGCCCCTCAAGACTGCTGGTCTGCTAACTGAAAGGTCAGCCTTTTGAACCCGCCATCTGTGGGAGAAAGATGAGGCAATCCGCTTCCCTACAGCTTTGGAAACGCTATGTAGCAGTTCTGCCTTGTTCTGTAGGGGCGCTAGGAGTCCGACTTGAAGGCAGTGGGTTTGTTTGTTTTAGGCCCACCAGAATCCATCTCACATAGTACGGAGGAGGGGACACTAAGTTCCAGTTAACAAAAAGCATATTTGTCAAAGGAAAGGCAGTGTTGGGCAAAGCCCCAACTGGCGCTTGATTCTGTTTGGTCTTGTGGAATTTGGGGTTTTTTTGAGGAGGGTGGGTGGGTAGGAGGAAGGAGTTAGGGTTAGGGCTATGGCTAGATATAGACAAGGCCTAGAACTTCATTTAGTGTTAGGGTTTGTTGTTGTT